GGGGCCGGGGGCGGTGTCGGGGTCGGGGGCTGCGCCAGCGCCTTGTCCCACCTGCCCACCGATGGTGACATCGAAGAAGACCACAGGGTTGTTGGGGTTGAGCGCCAAGGCCGACATTGCCGCCGCCTCTGCCGGAAGCGGAAGTGGCGGAGGAAGCGGAAGTGGCGTCGAGGAAGAGGGACTCCGGCCTGCCCTCTAGCGGCCCTGGGGGGAATGGGTTATCCCTCAGGAAGTTCTGGTGCGCCCATGAAGGAGGGTGGTCATGAGGTTCTGCAAAGACCTGGTCCTAGACCAGGTGCTTCAAAACACCCTCCAACCTGCCCTTGAACCCCTCCAGGGATGGGGCACCCACAGCTTCTCGGGCCAACCTGGGCCAGGCTCTCACCACCCTCACACCAAACAAGTTCTTCCCCAGATCCCATCTCCATCTCCCCTCTTTCAGTGTCAAACCCTTCCCCCTCCTCCTAGGGCTCCCCTCCCTCATCCAGAGTCCCTCCCCAGCTTTCCTGGAGCCCCTTGAGGGACTGGAAGGGGCTTGAAGGTCTCCCTGGAGCCTTCTCTTCTCCAGGCTGAACCCCCCCAACTCTCTCAGCCCCCCCTCCCAGCAGAGGGGCTCCAGCTCTCCCAGCATCTCTGTGGCCTCCTCTGGCCCCACTCCAACAGGTTCATGTCCTTCCTGTGCTGAGGACTCCAGAGCTGGACACAGTGCTCCAGGTGGGGTGTCCCCAGAGCAGAGCAGAGGGGCAGAGTCCCCCCCCTGGCCCTGCTGGCCACGCTGCTGGGGATGCAGCCCAGGATACAGGGGGCTTGTTGGGCTGGCAGCGTACATTGCTGGCTCATGTTGAGCTTCTCGTCCAACAACATCCCCAAGTCCTTCTCCTCAGGGCTGCTCTGCAGCCATTCTCCACCCAACCCGTATTTGTTTCTGGGATTGCCATGACCCAGGTGCAGGACCTTGCACTTGGCCTGGCTGGACTTCATGAGGTTCACAGGGGCCCACGTCAGGCCTGTCCAGGTCCCTCTGGATGGCATCCCTTCCCTCCAGACCCTCCACACCTTGATGTCGTCAGCAAACTTGCAGAGGGTGCCCTCAATCCCACTGTCCATCTCTCCAACAAAGACGTTGAACAGCACTGGTCCCAGTGCCAACCCCTGAGGGACAGCACTCGTCACTGGCCACCGCTTGGACATTGAGCCGTTGACCACAACCCTTTGAGTGCAGCCATCCAGCCAGTTCCTCACCCACCCAGTGGTCCATCCATCAAATATGTGTCTCTTCAGTTTAGAGACCATGATGTCATGCAGGACAGTGTCAAACGTGTTGCATAAGTCCAGGTAGAAGAGGTCTATTGCTTTCCCCTTATCTACCAAGGCCGTAGCAGCATCATGGAAGGCCACCACATTTGTCAGGCATGACTTGCTCTCAGTGAAGCCATGTTGGCTGTCACCAATCACCTCCTTATTTTCCATGTGCCGTAGCAGAGATTCTAGGAGGATCTGCTCCATGATCTTGCTGGGCACAGAGGTGAGACTGACCGGCCTGTAGTTCCCCAGCTCTTTCTTTTTTCTCTTTTTGAATATGGGGTTATGTTTCCCCTTTTCCGGCCAGCAGGAACTTCACCAGACTGCTGTGACTTCTCAAATATAATGGAAAGCAGCTTAGGAACTTCATTCCCCAGCTCCCTCAGGACCCGTGGATGGATTTCATCAGGTCCCATGGATTTATGTACCTTCAGGGTCCTTAGATGGTCTGGGAATGACCTCTCAGATGGCCTCGCCTCAGTGGGAAGAGAGGACTGTTTGAGCCCAGGTCCCCCCTCTCTCCCGGGCCTGGACAAGGCAGCACTAGAGAAGCCAGGGCTTCTCTGCAGTCCCCCAGCCCACGTGGGAAACTCACCGGGAGGAAGAGTGTCCCCAGTGGGGCCCGTGGGGCAGGAGCTGAGGAACCAGGAGGGTCCACCTGGAAGCCAAGTGTGGTGTAAAGAGATGGAGTCACTGAGTGGAGGGGGAGGAAGAGCCAGAAGGAATGATGGGATGAACACCTCCGGGGTTTAGGGGGTGCCCTTCACAGCTGTCCCTCTGGGACACTTCCCACCAGCCAGATGCCCTCTGTGCTGGCCTGTGGCTACCAGTGCCTGGCCTGGACTCCTCAGCCCCTGGGGTCAGGCTTCCTGGGACGGGCTCAGCCCTTTCCCATGACCTCTATCCGAGTCATATTCAGTCGGCTGAACGTGAGCCAGCAGTGTGCACAGGTGACCAAAGTGGCCAGCAGCATCCTGGCCTGTGTCAGGACCAGTATGGCCAGCAGGACTGGGGCAGTGACCATCCCCCTGTACTGGGCACTGGTGAGTCCCCACCTCAAGGGCTGTGTCCAGTTTTGGGTCCTTCACCACAAAAAAGACATTGAGGGGCTGGAGCGGGTCCAGAGAAGGGCAACGGAGCTGGTGAGGGGTCTGGAGAGCAAGGAGAAGGGTCTGGAGAACTTGTGAGGGAGCTGGGGGTGTTGAGCCTGGAGAAAAGGAGGCTGAGGGGAGACCTTCTGGCTCTCTCCAACTCCCTGAAAGGAGGGTGTAGCCAGGGGGGGTCGGTCTCTGCTCCCAAGGAACAGGCCATGGGACAAGAGGAAACGGCCTCAAGTTGTGCCAGGGGAGGCTTAGGATGGATATTGGGAAAAACTTCTTCCCCAAAGGGTTGTCAAGCCTTGGAAGAGGCTGCCCAGGGCAGCGATGGAGTCACCATCCCTGGAGGTATCTAAAAGCTGGGCGGATGTGGTGCTGAAGGACATGGGTTGGTGGTGGGTTTGGGCAGTGCTGGGTTGTTGTTTGGACTCAATGACCTTAGAGGTCTCTTCCAACCAAAACGATTCTATGATTCTGTGTGTGCTCACATCCTCTTAGTTGTCACAGACAGATCCTCTGTTCCCTCCTTTGGGAGATCCCATATCTCCCCTTATGGCAGATCCCATTGGGACTGCCCTTATCCCCACCGTGGCCCTTTGTGCCAGTTCAGGTGCCCTCCATCCCCCCACAAGGCACGCTCAGATGTCCTCAGGCTGATACATTATTTTTGAGGACCCCTCTGAGCACTCACAGTTCCTTGGTTCCCCTCATGCAAACTGATCCCCACTCATCCCATCCCCAGTGAGCACAGATCTCTTCCAGTCCCACTCAGATCCCTTCTCTTCCCCACAGCTCACTCTGATCCTTCCTGCTTCCCCCTTGGCATGCACAGATCCCCTCAACACCCTGTTCTGCATCATCTGATCCCTTCCACTCCCACCCAAGCACCCCCACAGACCATCATTCTTAGTAAGCATCCAAGATCTACTCTCTTTCCTTCTCTGGATCTTCAGGTCCTCTTCCAAGATCTTCAGGACCCCTCTACACATTCTCCTTTCTCCTCCTCACGTTGCCCTCATCTGCTCCATCTCCCTCCACGTGCACAGACTAAGGGGAATGGAGAAAAGCGGGCACATGGCAGGGAGGGGTGGGGATCAGAGA